ATCAAGAACAATGGACTGACTGATAAATGAAACAATTTCATGGCGTCTCATCATTCTTCCATGCATTTGAAATTCGTTCTTGAATCTTGAAATTTAGGTGCATTAGAACATACAAAGGTGCATGAACTTGACATAATATTAAATATCCTAACATGGTCATTATATGAACCCATGATTTTGACAACTACTATATATACCTTGTTCATATAATTCAAGCAATTCGTTTGTGTAAATTGACTTGATATCTTTTATTTGCTTGAAACAAGAATCATTAGAATTGAGAACACAAACAGATGGACCATACATAGATGGACACAGTAAGCAATTAAAAATAACCATAGATGGCCCAAGGTCGTGCACCATTAAAGAAGAATCAAGTAAAAAATAGCTTCAAGTGTTAAGGTGCATGTTTTGATTTGCAACATGGGATAAACGATCAAATAATTATTGTAATGTTTAACATTGTCATCTTATGGTGTATGATTAATCAAGCATAAGAAATTATGATCTATAATTATCCTGTTCTTCTATGCCTTGTTATTTTTTCATTTGTGATCTTATATGATCAATTTATGTGATAGCTAGATTTGATGATCCACAAGTATGAATTTTTCTTTGAAGAAAAAGATGATTCAGGAAACTTAAGATAATGATAAAGATTGCTAAGCTAAAAAAAGGCAGCTTGCTGTGTTATCTGATCAGTAGAGCAAGAAGAGTAAATAGAAATAAAATGACCTTTTGTTTGCTACGCTAAAAAACCCCACAACCTACCAAATCTAGCTGTATGTATGTGTCTATGTATATATAGATACACATATAACAATTATAATTTGAATTGTGATGAGTTTAAAAGAATAATGGTAACTATTATTTAGCTGTTTTTCTGACCTCTAGCTTCAACTGTTTCATGGTAACAGCTGAGGAAATGGAATGAGAGATGGATAATCTTAGACCCAACAACAGGAAAAATGGAATACAAGTAAGATCATATACTTTCTTTCACTGAAGCATCTGCCTATTTCTAACAAATATAATCATCTGCAGAATCAGGAGAAATGATCCAGCTGTCAAAGGAACAATCGTCTTTGATTCAAATAGCACAATAATGACATCACCCTATAACTTCCAGTAAGATCACTACTGAACATCATACCATGAATCCGAAATACATATGCTTTAACTTGGATGATTATCATGATTTCTAATCTAATATAGACATTTTTTATTTTAACTTTCAGTGGACTACCGAAGTATGACAACTGCATTATTTGTATCCACCATTATTTCTGTATTGCATATGCTAATATTATGACAAAAAGATTCAGCATTGTTCGTTCATTCATTCATTCATATATTTATTTTGTTACAATATCTCAAATATAAAAGAAACTGTTGCATGTATTCCCCTGACTTGATTTATTAGATATTGCAACACCACAGAAAAAAGAATATTTCCTCTGTGCAGAAACTCCAGGTGCAGCTAGAGCTTGGGTGGCAACATTGCAGTAAGTTATTCAATCCTTTTATGAAAATTTAACAATTTCATTGTAAAAAAGTTAGGTTACTGATGTATGTTTTTATCCTGTACACAAACAACAGTGCAACACAATTGGTATTAAGGGCTCATAAAGAGGCTGTGAACTCATTAGCTGGAAATAGTTCTGCAAAACTAGGAACAGTATCTGCTGTTGTGACTGCTGCAAATTCAACTGCCCTTGAATCCTCCAAAGAAATTGAAGCAGCCATGCAGATTGCAAGAAGAAATGCTTTGGGATCTGTATTGAACAAAGCACCTGATGGCCCATTGGATGATTTGACAATCATGAAGGTACTAAACATAAAAAATAAACCAATCCTTCAAAAACAAATGGTTATATAATAATTTGGTATTTTTACTTACAGGAGACATTAAAAGTAAAAGATGAGGAGCTGCAAAATTTATCAAGGGACATTCGTGCAAGGGATTCAACAATAAAAGAGATAGCAGAAAAGCTAACTGAAACAGCAGATGCTGCACAGAGTGCAGCATCTGCAGCTCATACAATGGATGAGCAACGAAGACTGGCAGCTTCAGAAGTTGACCGTTTAAGAAAGGAGTTAGAAAAACAAGCCATTTCTTACACTTCAAAGGTTTTTGTTTATATATATATATATATATATATATATATATATATATATATATATATATATATATATATATAAAGAAGCATACTAAGTTATATGATGATTTTAACCAAAAATGAAATTTTGGTTTTTTATAGCTAAGAGATTCTGAAGAGAAAATAATGGTTTTAAGTAAAGAAAGAGAGCAACTTATTAAACAACGAGACTCTTCTCATCAAGAGGCACTTTTATGGAGGTCTGAGCTGGGAAAAGCTAGGGAACGTGTAGTGATTCTAGAAGGAGCTGTTGTGAGAGCTGAAGAGAAGGTTAGGGTGAAAGATGCTGAGGCTGAAGCTGTAATAAAAGAGGCAACAGAGAAAGGAAGTGTCCTGAGAAAAGAGAATCAAGAGCTTTTGGCATGCATTCATGTTCTACAACTGCAACTTAAAAGGTTTTATTAAGAGACTAGAGTACATTACATTTTTTGGTCCCTGAGTATAGATATTTCTTTGCAATTTTGGTCCCAAAAAGATTCTCTTGAGAACTTGGTCCTTATATTTAACTTTCCTAATGATTCTGGTCCCTTGTCATCTAAGTTATCAGCCAAGCTGTTAAATTTTTTAAAATAACCATTTTGCCCTTGGACCAAAACTGGAAAAATAAACAGGATACTACATGGACCAAATTTGTATATTTCTCTTATTTTTAATTAAGGTTCATAACATTTTATATGTGCATATGATTTTTAAATCTTATATTATATCTAATGTATATTATGCATTGATAATATATTAATCTGAAATTATTTATATATTAATATAACTTTCTATTCTGAAATATATTAATCTTTTATTTGTTATCTAGCACACCATGTACAAGGTATATAATAAAAGAATAATGTATTTAAAAATAGTAAGGTATATCAATATATAAATAATTCAAATTAATATATTAACAAATAATTCAATTTACAATATACCCTAAAAATATTAAAAGTTATATGCGCATATTGAATTTTATAAACCTTAATAAAAAAATAAATAAGAGAAATTTACAAATTTGGTCCCCATGGCGTTTCTTCAATTTTGATGCAAGGGCAAAATGGTCGTTTTGATATATTTAATAGCTAGGTGGTAGGCTGTTTAACTTGGTCGATGCAGGGACCAAAATCATTAGGAAATTTCAAAATAAGGACCAACATTTTGGGACCAAAATTAGCTATATACTTGGGGACCGAAAATGTAATTTACTCAAGAAACTAACCAATATGATAAAATTTATCTCTTGCTCTGTGGACATTGTGATTTGCTTACCTACCCATGTTGCTGACGTGGCAGTTGTGTTTTGTCAGCAGGCAGGAGGAAAATACAAAGCAAGTGCTTGAGGAGAGAGTAGAGTCATGCTCCGGTGATACGCAACCCCTCACAAAACATGTGCATCCAACGGTCAAGAATGTGGATAAAGCAAGCCTTAGTGACTCCAGGAATATACCGATGTCGGAAAGGTATCCCGATCGAAGTGGGGAATGGAATGATATAGAGGCAACAGAAGCAAGAATAGCGGACGTGAGGGAAATCTCTGCTGACACTCAAGGGAATGGGAGTGGGAATGATATTCCGGTGTTTGTGCATGGGAATGAGAGTCAACAGCAGCAGCAGCAGCAGGAAGGAAGTGCGTATTATCCGGATGTTCCTGCGTTTAGACAATCAGATGATACACAACCACCCGAACAAACAACCGATTCATACCACCATCAACCTTGATCTCGTGTTTACTGTTTTGCTTCTTATAGGCTCAAACTGAAACCAATCAATCATGTGTGAAAATTGAAAAATGATGTTATAGTGTGAAAGTTTATATTTGCTAACTAACTTGAGTTGAGGCTACTCTGAATTCACTGTTTTTGGTTATCAGTTTCAGATCGTGTCTTCTTTTTTACTAATCAGAATGATCTATATTTGTGTTTTTCTTTCACTTAATGTAAACAACTTAATAGAGAAAACAACGGATGCACTATTAAGTCCTAAAGTTTTACACATTGATCCTTATTTTCTCATTCCATGTATGGAGGTATCTTTATTTTATACATATTATTTATTCCGAAAACATTTTATCCAAACAGAATAAATATTCATTTTTTTTTTCCAAAATCGGCAACATACTTCATTTTTTATCTAGCAATCAACTTGCATATTGAGTTGGATTTATTATGGCACATTAGTGCTGTCAGCTACCACGTGGTATAACACGTGTACACGACGATTACATACTAAGGGCATGACGTTTTTCTTCTATTTTTGGTTTTAGTTTTAGTTCAGAGTTTGAGTTAGATGTGGTTTTGGTGATGGCTGTTGTATTTAGATTTGGTTTGCCGAGGAATGCGAAACATAAAGTTTTAATTAAAAAAATTATTTAAAGTTTTAAAAATGATATCTATTGAAGCAAATATTCATAAATAATTTTAAATGTCATGTTATACTATAAGTCACATTACAAACATATAATGACGAACAAAAAAAAAATGCCAAATTTGCATACCAAGTCAATAAAAAGTAAAACCCCGCTTCCCAGTCTAATAAGTTTTAAAACACACATCCTAGCACCTGCGATGATGGTTATTAATATGAATTATAACATTAGAAAAAGCAATACGATTGATTACAATAAAAGCAAAATAATGTGATTGAGGTAATTACAAGACAAGAAAAACATAATAATGTGATTGGCATGATTACAAAAATACAATCTTGGAACACCTGTAGTGATTGGGTTTCCAACTTTACACACATGCAAATGAGATCATGGTACTATTTCCTTTTTCCACTTAAATAATGTCCGGATATATTATAATAAAAAGAAATGGAAAGAGATATATAAAGACAAAATCTTTAAAAGTTGGAACGACTTAACAACACGGTATTTATATCAACTAACAGTTGTCCATCCAAACTGAATAAGATAAATAATTGAACCAAAAACTTCATTGATCTTAATTATTATCAACACAAAAGAAAACGAAAAAGAAATAAATAAACCTTGGCCCTTGTTTTGTCTTTGTTATGTGACAAGTGATTTACATCTCTCTTCCATTCATCTCAATTTTACTCAAATACCCCCACCACTCCCTCCTGTTAGTAATCTAACAAGAACGATTGCAACCAGTTAACTTTTAACGGTTTTCTGTTAATTCTGTTAACAGGATTCTGTTAGGTTTCCGATTTAACCACCGGGCCCGGGCGTTCTATGTCAGCAGTACCACCCATGGTTTCACTGTCCATGCTGGCTGTCCGGCTCCTCCTGTTTCTTCGTTCCTGTTTTCAAAAAGTCAATACATGTTGAAAATCGGTCAAAACAACATACTAGCAGAGGGTAGTTTTGTCTTTTCAGCATCATTATGATTATAAGTTATAAGTAGTACCTCACGATATGGGAAATCTGCATCAAGCATTCTGACAACTTGACTCATTTTAGGTCGTTTCTCAGAGTCAGGATCAACACATCTAAGAGCCACTAAAAGTGCACGTTTTAAAGCATGTGTCGAGGGTTTCGGGTCAAGACTCGGGTCAACAACTTCCTCAGCTCTTCTATTTCCCACCATCATTTTAAGCCACTCAACAAGATTCACCTACCATAAGTTCAAAAAAAAATACTTATATTTTATAAAAAAACATTTCAACCTTGATACAATTATACAATATCAAATCCATTGGTATTACCTCATTAGCAGAGCGATTGTAATCCACTGGATCCCTTCCAGTTACTGCTTCTAGAAGCAACACACCAAAACTATAAATATCACTTTTTTCATTTAACATGCCAGTATTCGCGTATTCTGGAGCCACATAACTGTAAATTACAACATAAAAAAGTTATTTAGTGTTTTTCATCACTCTTTTTTTAGATCACATTACACAACATAATCATATATATATATATATATATATATATATATATATATATATATATATTCATACCCGAATGTTCCCATAACTCTTGTATTTATGTGACTTTCTCCTGCATCCAAAAGCTTGGCCAATCCAAAATCAGAAAGCTTCCCGTTGAAGTCATGGTCGATTAAAATGTTGCTAGATTTTATGTCTCGATGCACAACTTTTGGTTCTATAGCTTCATGCAAGTAAGCAAGCCTGTGAAATCAGTTTTGATGAAAAAGGATCAAAATCTTGAAAATTTATGAAATTTCAACTTACTTATAAAGATTCACTTACGCTTTTGCAATACCAAGAAGGACCTTCATGCGAACTTCCCATGTAAGAACACCACATTCCTGAACATCTCCATGAAGCCATTGTTCAAGGTTTCCATTGTCCACATATTCATAAACAAGCATCCTAAGTTTATTCAAGCAAATACAAACCATAATTCAATAAAATAATAAAAAGAATCACTAGAAATTAGAAGTTAGGTGCATTGGATAAGTTAATAACACACACACACACACACCTATGTGTTCCTTCTATGCAGTAGCCTAGAAGTCGCACAAGATTCTTGTGTCGAACATGTCCGATAGCCTCCACTTCAACTCTAAACTCTTTTTCAGCCTGTCCCCTATGCATATAAACATGATATAAAATTATAAAACAAGTAATAAAACATTCATTTCATTCATTCATAGCTTAAAGTTACACTCACAGATTGTTAAGAAGCTTCTTCACTGCTACCTCTGTCCCATTGATCAATGTCCCTTTATATACAATCCCATATCCACCCTCACCAACCACATTTTCATGGGAGAAACGGCGTGTTGCTTGTTCAAGGTCTCTCAAAGTAAACCAGTGCCCCCACCCTAAATGTGAGGTTTCAGGTAACCCTATAAATGGAGATGAAGATTGCTTCCGGACCATTCCAGAAGTTCCTTCTTCACCTGACTTTGACTTGGATCCCCTTTCATAAATAGAACTGCTTTGACTTACATTATCAGCATCACCAGATTTGCTCACTCCAAGTTGAAATATCATCTTTCCTGAATTCTTATTGGTCGGTTCATCATTAGTGGTTGATGATGAATGTTCAAGATTGTTGTGGTTATGAAAATGTGAACCTCCGACTCTATCTACCCTGATGTCTTTTGGAACATTTGGTATCTGGGAAAGGGGGTAATTGTCTGATCTTCTTCGAGATTTTCTTTGGCATGTGACCCACATTGATAAGAAAAAGAGAAACACACAGATAAACATACCAACACAGAGGCAGATCACTACCCATAGTTTAAGACCCATAATTGAAGTCTTCTTCGATAATTGTGTATTTAAACTCCCGGATGACATTTTGGCGACAATTACGAGTTATGAAGTCGTATAACCACCCGACGTCTGCTAATCCATCTCCTTCCGTATCCTGTCAACAAAACGGAAAGGGGAAAACACATCTCAATTGTCGGATTTTGTGGCGCGATTAAACTAAAATTAACATTAACAAGCAAAAATGAAAAACCCACCTTCCAATTTCCAATTACTAGGTTTACAATAGAGCAACTAATCCCAAATCAAATCCCAATGCCTGACAAAATAAAGAGAAAATTGGAAGAATTCCAACAAGACATTAGATAAAGTATATACTAGTGCAATTACAGCTGTAAATCGTCAGATATATTAAAGGCATTTGAGAAAATTAAGCACTGATCTAAAAGAAACATAATGGTGTTAAAAAACTTACTGTAGATGCGATTTAATCTAAACCCACTTATTGTTTCATGAGAATCGAAAGACCCACATGGCGCACTGCTCAGATTTTGCAAGCATAGATTAGGGACCGGTTGTAATGGGGAAGCAGTGCACGCAAAGCCACCGAAAGACAAAATCTGAGAAGCAAAAGGGAGTTTGGAAGTAGAGAGAGGGTGAGGGAAGAGTGGGCCAAGAATTTCAGAAAATATAGAGAAGAAAAATCTGGACACCACACTAAAGAGAAAAAAAATATATAGAAACCCTGATAAATCGCAAATCGGATCAAAGGAATAGAGATAATTGCATGGAAAACTGTGTTTTTTAATTGCAAAACTAGAACAAAGTCATCAGATTTATTAATTATTAATTATGGTATAATTATTAGAATGTAAGAGCCATTTTCTATAGATTAAAAATTAAAACATGCTATTTTTCATAAATCAACGAATATATTTGTTCTATAATGAATGAAATTTAAAATATTATTTAATATACAACGTAAAAATATAGTGTATAAGGTAAAAGTTAGATTCAGATTATCATTATACATATTCAACTCTTAACGATATTTGACACGTTAAAGGAAGAAATGATATATCACGGACTTAAATCAATTCAGATTTGCTAACTTTTGATTTTTCATTTCTATGAAGTTAATTGGTTCTTAATAATAAATAATAGAAAAAACTTCATAATGTTCTACAGTATCCCGAAATCCCTAAGTTTCAAAAACCTCACGGATGTTTCTTGTGGTTTCAAAACTTTTAATGTTTAGTCTTTATGGTTCACTCCGTCAATATTTGTCCGTTAAGTGAAGTCTATTTCCGTCATTCACCATCCCAAGGACCATTTATAAGGTTTTCTCTTTTTTTTTTAAAAAAAAAGGAAACATGAAATTTAATATGCAAGGGGTCCTCTTTCTCTCTCTCTCTCTCTCTCTCTCTCTCTCTCTCTCTCTCTCTCTCTCTCTCTCTCTCTCTCTC